ACAGCATGGAGGAAGTCTGGTGTGAGTACAGGATGGAAGAAGTCTGGTGTGTGTACAGCATGGAGGAAGTCTGGTGTGTGTACAGCATGGAAGAAGTCTGGTGTGTGTACAGCATGGAGGAAGTCTGATGTGTGTACAGTAATGAAGAAGTCTGGGGTGAGTACAGCATGGAGGAAGTCTGGTGTGTGTACAGCATGGAGAGAATCTGGTCTGTGTACAGCATCGAGGGAGTCTGTTGTGTGTACAGCAGGGAGGGAGTCTGCTGTGTGTACAGCATGGAGGGAGTCTGGTGTGTGTACAGCATGGAGGAAGTCTGTTGTGTGAAGAGCATGGAGGAAGTCTGGCGTGTGTACAGCACGGAGGGAGTCTGGTGTGTGTACAACACGGAGGGAGTCTGATGTGTGTACAGCATGGAGGGAGTCTGGTGTGTGTACAGCATGGTGGGAGTCTGGTGTGTGTACAGCATGGAGGGATTCTGGTGTGTGTACAGCATGGAGGGAGTTTGGTGTGTGTACAGCATGGAGGGAGTCTGGTGTGTGTACAGCACGGGGGGAGTCTGTTGTGTGTACAGCATGGAGGGAGTCTGGTGTTTTACAGCATGGAGGGGGTCTGGTATGTGTACAGCAGGAAGGGAGTCTAGTGTACATGGGAGTTTGGTGTGTGTACAGCATGGAGGGAGTCTGTTGTGTGTACAGCATGGAGGAAGTCTGGGGTGTGTACAGCATGGAGGGAGTCTGGTGTGTGTACAGCATTAAGGGAGTCTGGTGTGTGTACAGCATGGAGGGAGCCTGGTGTGTGTACAACATGGAGGAAGTCAGGTGTGTGTACAGCATGGGGGGAGTCTGGTGTGTGTACAGTATGGAAGAAGTCTGGTGTGAGTACAGCATGGAGGGAGTCTGGTGTGAGTACAGCATGGAGGGAGTCTGGTGTGTGTACAGTATGGAAGAAGTCTGGTGTGAGTACAGCATGGAGGAAGTCTGATGTGTGTACAGTAATGAAGAAGTCTGGTGTGAGTACAGCATGGAGGAAGTCTGGTGTGTGTACAGCATGGAGAGAATCTGGTCTGTGTACAGCATCGAGGGAGTCTGTTGTGTGTACAGCAGGGAGGGAGTCTGCTGTGTGTACAGCATGGAGGGAGTCTGGTGTGTGTACAGCATGGAGGAAGTCTGTTGTGTGAAGAGCATGGAGGAAGTCTGGTGTGTGTACAGCACGGAGGGAGACTGGTGTGTGTACAACACGGAGGGAGTCTCATGTGTGTACAGCATGGAGGGAGTCTGGTGTGTGTACAGCATGGTGGGAGTCTGGTGTGTGTACAGCATGGAGGGATTCTGGTGTGTGTACAGTATGGAGGAAGTCTTGTGTGTGAACAGCATGGAAGAAGTCTGGTGTGTGTACAGTATGGAAGAAGTCTGGTGTGAGTACAGTATGGAGGAAATCTGGTGTGAGTACAGCATGGAAGAAGTCTGGTGTGTGTACAGCATGGAGGGAGTCTGGTGTGTGTACAGCATGGAGGAAGTCTGGTGTGTGTACAGCATGGAAGAAGTCTGGTGTGAGTACAGCATGGAGGAAGTCTGGTGTGTGTAGAGTATGGAAGAAGTCTGGTGTGTGTACAGCATGGAGGAAGTCTGGTGTGTGTACAGTATGGAAGAAGTCTGGTGTGAGTACAGCATGGAAGAAGTCTGGTGTGTGTACAGCATGGAGGAAGTCTGGTGTGAGTACAGCATGGAAGAAGTCTGGTGTGTGTACAGCATGGAAGAAGTCTGGTGTGAGTACAGCATGGAAGAAGTCTGGTGTGTGTACAGCATGGAGGGAGTCTGGTGTGAGTACAGCATGGAGGAAGTCTGGTGTGAGTACAGCATGGAAGAAGTCTGGTGTGTGTACAGTATGGAAGAAGTCTGGTGTGAGTACAGCATGGAGGGAGTCTGGTGTGAGTACAGCATGGAGGGAGTCTGGTGTGTGTACAGTAATGAAGAAGTCTGGTGTGAGTACAGCATGGAGGAAGTCTGGTGTGTGTACAGCATGGAGAGAATCTGGTCTGTGTACAGCATCGAGGGAGTCTGTTGTGTGTACAGCATGGTGGGAGTCTGGTGTGTGTACAGCATGGAGGGATTCTGGTGTGTGTACAGCATGGAGGGAGTTTGGTGTGTGTACAGCATGGAGGGAGTCTGGTGTGTGTACAGCACGGAGGGAGTCTGGTGTGTGATAGCATGGAGGGAGTCTGGTGTGTGTACAGCATGGAGGGAGTCTGGTGTGTGTACAGCATGGAGGGAGTCTGGTGTTTTACAGCATGGAGGGGGTCTGGTGTGTGTACAGCATGGAGGGAGTCTGGTGTGTGTACAGCATGGAGGGAGTTTGGTGTGTGTACAGCATGGAGGGAGTCTGGTGTACACGGGAGTCTGGTGTGTGTACAGCATGGAGGGAGTCTGGTGTACACGGGAGTCTGGTGTGTGTACAGCATGGAGGGAGTCTGCTGTGTGTACAGCATGCAGGGATTCTGGTGTGTGTACAGCATGGTGGGAGTCTGGTGTGTGTACAGCACGGAGGGAGTCTGGTATGTGTACAACACGGAGGGAGTCTGATGTGTGTACAGCATGGAGAAAGTCTAGTGTGTGTACAGCATGGAGGAAGTCTGGTGTGTGTACAGCACGGAGGGAGTCTGGTATGTGTACAACACGGAGGGAGTCTGATGTGTGTACAGTATGGAGAGAGTCTGATGTGTGTACAGCATGAAGATAGTCTGGTGTACACGGGAGTCTGGTGTGTGTGCAGCATGGAGGGAGTCTGGTGTGTGTACAGCATGGAGGGATTCTGGTGTGTGTACAGCATGGAGGGAGTCTGGTGTGTGTACAGCATGGTGGGAGTCTGATGTGTGTACAGTATGGTGGGGTTCTGTTGTGTGTACAGCATGGAGGAAGTCTGGTGTGTGTACAGCACGGAGGGAGTCTGGTATTTGTACAACATGGAGGGAGTCTGGTGTGTGTACAGTATGGTGGGGTTCTGTTGTGTGTACAGCATGGAGGAAGTCTGGTGTGTGTACAGCACGGAGGGAGTCTGGTATGTGTACAACACGGAGGGAGTCTGATGTGTGTACAGTATGGAGGGAGTCTGGTGTGTGTACAGCATGGAGGGAGTCTGGTGTGTGTACAGCATGGAGGGAGTTTGGTGTGTTTACAGCATGGAGGGAGTCTGGTGTACACGGGAGTCTGGTGTGTGTACAGCAGGGAGTCTGATGTGTGTACAGCATGCAGGGATTCTGGTGTGTGTACAGCATGGTGGGAGTCTGGTGTGAGTACAGCATGGAGGGAGTCTGATGTGTGTACAGCATGGTGGGAGTCTGGTGTGTGTACAGCATGGTGGGAGTCTGGTGTGAGTACAGCATGGAGGAAGTCTGGTGTGAGTACAGCATGGAGGAAGTCTGGTGTGAGTACAGCATGGAGGAAGTCTGGTGTGTGTACAGCATGGTGGGATTCTGGTGTGTGTACAGCACGGAGGAAGTCTGGTGTGTGTACAACACGGAGGGAGTCTGGTGTGTGTACAGTATGGAGGGAGTCTGGTGTGTGTACAGCATGGAGGGAGTCTGGTGTGTGTACAGCATGGTGGGATTCTGTTGTGTGTACAGCATGGAGGAAGTCTGGTGTGAGTACAGCACGGAGGGAGTCTGGTATGTGTACAACACGGAGGGAGTCTGGTGTGTGTACAGTATGGAGGGAGTCTGGTGTGTGTACAGCATGGAGGGAGTCTGGTGTGTGTACAGCATGGAGGGAGCCTGTTGTGTGTACAGTAGGAGGGAGTCTGGTGTGTGTACAGCATGGAGGGAGTCTGGTGTGTGTACAGCATGGGAGTCTGTTGTGTGTACAGCATGGAGGGAGTTTGGTGTACACGGGAGTCTGGTGTGTGATAGCATGGAGGGAGTCTGGTGTGTGTACAGCATGGAGGGAGTCTGGTGTGTGTACAGCATGGAGGGAGTTTGGTGTATGTACAGATTGGAGGGAGTCTGGTGTGTGTACAGCATTGAGGGAGTCTGGTGTGTGTACAGCATGGAGGGAGTTTGGTGTATGTACAGATTGGAGGGAGTCTGGTGTGTGTACAGCATGGAGGGAGTCTGGTGTGTGTACAGCATGGAGGAAGTCTGGTATGTGTACAGCATGGAGGGAGTCTGGTGTGTGTACAGCATGGAGGGAGTCTGATGTGTGTACAGCATGGAGGGAGTCTGGTGTGTGTACAGCATGGAGGGAGTCTGGTGTGTGTACAGCATGGAGGAAGTCTGGTGTGAGTACAGCATGGAGGGAGTTTGGTATGTGTACAGCATGGAGGGAGTCTGATGTGTGTACAGCATGCAGGGAGTCTGGTGTGTGTACAGGATGGAGGGAGTCTGGCGTGTGTACAGCATGGAGGGAGTCTGATATGTGTATAGCATGGAGGGAGTCTGATGTGTGTAGAGCATGGAGGGAGTCTGGTGTACACGGTAGTCTGGTGTGTGTACAGCATGGAGGGAGTTTGGTGTGTGTACAGCATGGAGGGAGTCTGATGTGTGTACAGCATGGAGGGAGTCTGGTCTACACGGGAGTCTGTTGTGTGTACAGCATGGAGGGAGTTTGGTATGTGTACAGCATGGAGGGAGTCTGATGTGTGTACAGCATGCAGGGAGTCTGGTGTGTGTACAGGATGGAGGGAGTCTGGCGTGTGTACAGCATGGAGGGAGTCTGATATGTGTATAGCATGGAGGGGGTCTGGTGTGTGTACAGCACGGAGGGAGCCTGGTGTGTGTACAGCATGGAGGGAGTCTTATGTGGTGCGAGGAGTAAGAGGTGTTTCATGTGAATTTGGCGTGTGTACAATGAGGGGAGGGATGAAGGTACTGGTCTGTGTTGAACATGTAGAATTGAGCTGAAAGGCAGACAGGGCATAGTAGTGGTTGTAGTATGCTGAAAGGCCTTGATATTAACCTGGCAGGAGCTGAGAGTACGGCTCAGTCTTAAAGCTCAGTCTCTGCCACTCACGTGTCCGACAAGCCGTATGCCAAGTCCAGCATATCAAGCTCCTCATCAGTGGGTTTCTCTGGCAGCTTGTCGTAATCTGCTTTCTTAAAGATGAGGTGACAGGTTGAGCACGCCAGGGTTCCCTCACAGGCACCTGCAGCACAAGAACACATGCATGATCAGGGCTAGCAACTCACATGCAGAGCTACCAGCCTCATCAGGACTGTCATCTACTTAGAGGACTGTCATCTACTAAGACATTGCGAACATGCCATTTATTTCAGTGATTACTGGTACATTGTTAAAGTGAGATCAAATACAGTTGGGTTTTTTAATGATCATTACACCATGTACACAGTCACATTTGATTGATACCCATGATGAGTCGACAACCATGATATCTGGAAGCTTAACGTTCCTCATGTAAGCTACAGGATTATTGCCTGACTTGTTCTTATGAGATGAGCAAACAAAAATTCCATGAAATTACAAATCCATTGCTACTTAAATTAAGACAAATGAACTGCAAAAGCCACTAACCAAAGCCATCAATGTCAATATCATTCTCTATAATAACATCCAAGAGATTGTCACCAACTTTAGCCTGGGTTTGGATGCGATTTCCTTCTCTCCCAATGAAGTTTATGGTAACTCTGGAATGATAAGATGATTGGAATAAACCACATGCTGCTCTACCTTTAAGCTCTACTTCATTTTCAATTGCAACAGTTAACAGTGACCTGCATGCCAACACACAGAAGCCTGGATCCAGCCTGTCACCATCCCTGTCTAGAAAACATAGTCAATCTGAAACAGTCAAACACTACAGTTTTCACCTGACCCTTGGAAGTGAATGAACCCTCACAACATTCTCAGGCACTTAAATCAACTCTTGCAAGTAAACTGTTAAAACCTATCAACTTGTTTGTTTTCATTGGGGGTAACAGCTGTCCATGCCAAACTTGAAGTTGGTAGGTACAAAGTACCATTTTCTTGCTAGCCAGTGAAAAATGTGATTTTCCCCAAAGTACATAAAGCATGACTTATACAAGTTTGTTCCCCTTTTAATAAATATTTTGAACGAAATCAAATTATATCATGCAACAAAGGGTTTCCAGACCATAATCCTTATGGTATCTATAAACGACACTCAATAGAAAGGTCTATATTTTTTATATCAGCCTGGCAGTGATGATACCAGGAGTTCGTGAAAAGGTGAGTGTATCTTGCCCTACTGGTGGCACCCATCACAAACACATTCAAAGGCAATTCTGAACCCAAAGTCAACTTTCCATCCATGTGAAGTCATCCCTCTTGTCATTCTGTCATGTGGATAGTTTTTTGTCACTCTGAAGTTTTATGCATAGATTTGAATGTCAAACAATGTTTTCAGGTTACTATTCCGGCCTCAACGTTGCAACAAAGTGGGTCACCATGGAGATAAAAAAAATTTCAGCAGTCACCAATTGACTACTTTGAAAAATTAAGCCAGCAAACTGATATTACTAACTGCATAATAATAGAGACAAAAATACAATACATTAATACATACAGTGTCCAACACAGGCCACGCGATTGTGCGATTCACACTAAACAAAATCAAATCGCCCCTCATAAAAAAATCAAAGCGCGATCTGTCGCGCACAGTAATTTCTTGTACAGTCACTTACTTTATCAGCTGTTTATCCCTACCTTTAGATTCAATACTCACTAAATCTTTAATCAATTAACGAAGAAAGACAGTTCACAGCAAACATTGTAAACAACTGTCGAAGACCGATCGATAACAACGGGAAGTTCGAACACGAGTGATGTCCCTTGGGTTGCTGAATAAATTATCGATAGGATTGGCATAGGAAACGAAATTTGATTTACTTTAGTAGAAAACGTATCAAAATTTTGATCAAAATTATGTTGTATTTTGTTGTTTAGCAATCAAAAACCTTTGACAAGATGTTTAAAGACAATAAATATTCTATCTTGAATAGTTCTGAAAATATTTTTGAGCATTTTAGTTCGTTTTAGTTTCGTTTCTGAAATCACACAATATGAATCGCCGACTGTCATAGCAGACGATCTTTTCAATAGTGAATGACCATGTCGCGCAAAAACAAAAGAATTACAGACTTTTTTAATCAAAATAGAAAAAAGCACAAAGCACTGTTATTCATTTCAGTTCTTTATTCTGATCTGTTACACTTTTATATGATGATGTTCCCATGGTTCCAGTACACAATACAAAATAAGACATTTTTGAAGAAAGCAATTATCCCCCCTACTTTTTCAAAATCCCTCCTATTTGCTACATGCTGGGGGGACAAGTCCCCCCTTTATTTTCAATTCTGGGTTGGACACTGTACATACTGATCAACTAAACAAAAATTTCATTGTAAAAAATCGAAAAAGCAACATGTGAATTGTGAGGTACAATTTAATCAATAATATTGTCACGTATTTACAACAATGTAATTAACAGTTGCACCAAAGGAAGGAATCGGTATTGATGCATTTAGGCAGATTAGATATGCTTTACAGTATTATACATTACTGATTATAATCTTGAAGGTTGGCTCTAAATGTTTCACTCGGCTTCTTGAATTTCACATTGACCAGTCCTGTCAAAGGAGAATGAGAGAGTGAGGAAATCCCAGTAAAATGCAGCCATAGAAAATTGTAGAATTTTCCTTTTCGGAATATTCTATAAGTAATACGTTACCACTGTTATACCGAGGCTGTTGTCTCCCACAACTGCTGCTATAGCGAAATCTACCACAGAGATCTCAACTACCTCATGCAGCACTTGCGTAGCCACCTAGCTGCCATGTGACACCCTTCACTCTTGTCTCTTGCGAGAGCAAGTGCTCGGGAACCAGACGGGCGGGCAGCAGCCCAGTGGTAACGTATTACTTATAGAATATTCCGAATAGGACCCCAGGGATCTTGTTATTAAACAGGGTCCGAGCAGACCAAGGCTGCGAAAGGAGCACCTCCTGATTAGCAGCGTCCAACCCTGAGGCAACCAGATACGACTGGCGCCGGAGAAAATGGCACGTGCTGGAAATAAAGGCTGAAGCCCCGCCAACGTACTCCAGGGAAGCATTTAAACCGATCAGGCAGTTATAAATGCGCTAGTCTCGGTCCGTGGGAGAACCTTAGACCAGACTGGCCGCTGCAGCCAGGTATGTGTCTCCGTGAGACATTGCAAGCATGGAGTGTCAAGCGAGGGTGTCCAGCTGCTGCAAGGTACCTTGTGGTACCATGGCAGCCTGTGGGGCACGGACACCCAAACGCTCAACATGGGCTTCCGCGGTAGGACCAGCCTCGGGAAAGGCAAGATCTCCAAAAGCATCTTTCCGCAAGGGCTCTGATGGAGCAGTTGCTGTGTAGAGCCATCGAAGAAGCAACCACCCTGATCGCGTGAGGACTGTTGGCCTTTTAGGGATCCAGGCCAGCGGCCACATAAGCTTGAAGGATGATGGTGCATAAACATAAGAAGATGGTGTTGCGACAAACTTCCATTGTGGATGTCTTGGAGAAAGGGATGAAAAGCATTTTCCAGGCACAACACTGGGTCTTAGAGCATTGGATAAAAACCCTCAGAGCCCTGATCTGGTACTGAAGGAGTTCGTTCTCATCTTCAACCCACACAACTGAGGAAAGAGGTGGGATGGTGAATGACCGGTCAGGCTGTCCTGGGAGTTGCTTCTTGGGAATGAAGCACAGCCCAAGGTGAACGGCTCCTTTCGCCTGAGATATGTATGTATCAGTAGGCTTGGCCACTCTGGCAGTTCCAGTCGATCACTTTCTGCAAGATCTCTTAGGTCCACAAACCATCCTCTCACCAGCCACCAAAATCAGAGAGAGGCTCTTAGTTGCCCTGATCTTCTGCATCACCTTGGGAAGAAGTACGGGAGGTGGAAAAGCATATTCTTTAACTTTAATATCATAAATTTAAGATAGTGCAAAGCTTATCCCACAGTTGGTGGTGGGGGTCTGTGGTTGCAATGCTAGTCTGTCGAGAACCTGGGACTGATGATATCATGGATTCACTAATCCTGAATCACCTCCCACATCCTTACTTAACATGCAAAGCTACACTCAGGTCAAGTACCTGTGCAGTTTTCAATGTGGCGCCCAGAGGATTGGAACTTCCAGTAATATTGTACATCAATAAGAGCCCAACAATCACTTTAGAAAACTATTGTGACACAAGCGATATATCATGTATAACACTCTGCCGGAAATTTTAATGAAGATCTCAATGCTTAATGCATGTAATGTGAAAGCATTGACGATTGTTGTTGCTGTTTCAAGTTGTAGCGTTCATCAACAAGAGCCAAACAATCCCTCAGAGTATTATCTGTTCATGACACCATGAGCCAAAGACAAAATGTCGGGCATTCTTCAAGTCCACTTCTTGCTGCATGCATGCGGCATAGGGCAACTGCAGCGCTAACACTGGTGGTCGAAACTGGTGACTGCATTCCACATCTTCCACTACCAAATCATGTAGATACTGTAAATCTGAAAAGTCTTGCGCAAAAAATTACTGTGAGTGGCTAACAATAGCCTTAGCTGTGTCTGGAAAGTATTGTGAAAAAACAGACTGGTTGGCATATGTCTGGATTGCTGGGTATTATGTCAACAACTTGAAGAGGATGGCAGATAAGTGACACTAAGACTATTGACACTGAGTGACAATGTGGAATTAGGGAAACACAGGATGTAAGGGATTATTTCTTTAATCATGTACTGGATGCTTTGACAATGTGTGGAAGTGAATTCAAGAAATATGTCTTTTGTTTGTTGTTGGTCTGCAAAAATAACCGTGACATGAAACTATGGTGAGGTTGTGTTGCTTGCACTTTTCTTAGTACCCTCCTGCTCGCAAAACTTTCCAGATTTACAGTAGTAATTAACAAATGTACTGTCTGCATGTCCATATGCCTGTAAGAAGGTTGCCCTTAACCAAAGCCACCATAGAAATTTTAGTCTGGCTGTCAGGCGTGGAGGAAACATCAAACAAATCTTATCATTGCTAATAATCACATGATAATTCAAAGAATATTTCCTTAAAGAGGTGGCATGAGGTTACAAATCCGGTGAAGTTAGGCAATGTCGGTTGTGGAAAATAGTTGGATGGGTGACCTCATTTGGCAGCTTTACTCTAGGGCTTCAGTCCTGGACCACAATGAAGCACATGTAGCACATGTGGTGTCGTCTTAGGCAAGATGTTCAAAATATGCCTCTGTTCACTGAGCAGTAAAATCAGGTACCCGGTAGGATGAAATGGTATTGTGACTAATAACAGTCTTGGGTTGTATACTCTTAGCGCTTTGATCATGCATCTTGTGCTTGGAGGCTAGCGCAATATAAATACACACATTATTAGCATTATTACTACATCATGACAAATTCCTGCATTTTGGCTGTGGTCACATTTCAAAATCACTGTCAACTATCCATAATACTTATTAATTAGTTATGCCACTTATTTAAAAAGTGAACCGCCATCAACATGATTAACACATGCTGAATTAGTAAAATCTAAATATTTTTACATTTGTATACATATCCTGCATTACTGCTTAATGCATTCACTGCTCACCTTACGACAAAAGATGGGACAGTGTAACAATGATGGTCATGGGTG